TCAAAAAACAAAACAATCAAAATAAATGATGTCTTTCATGGAAGTGGCTGCAGTGCAGAGGAATTTACATGAAGGTATGTTCACAGCTGCTTGTGTATTTATAACCTGACAGAGACAGAGTGGAATGGGTCAGAAATTGGTGGATTGCAACAGTTGTATTATTAGTATATTTGTTATGTTTGCTGAGGAAAGTTGGTTGTAGTTGCTGGAGAAGTGCAGGCTTCCCCCACACAACTATTATTTATTTATTTTGTCTCCCTGCACTGATGTTTTGAGTACTTGTCACTCGTTGTTAATGTAATCAATCAAAGCCCCCACTCACCCATTAATGACAACATCTTAATAAAACTCCTGTAATTTTGGTTAGGATGTCTGGTTTTGGTGCGCCATCCCTGGACCATCAGTGATCCCCATCTGGGCACCACATTTGAAAACCTATCAAAGGCACACATGGCAGTAATATATTGAGGGTTTGCATTGAACCATTGCAATGGTGTATGACTGTTATGCATGCTGTTGAAATGCTGTTGAAATCAACTTTTTAATTCAAAAAGACTTTTGATTCAGACAGGCATTCTGCTTTTCAGAAATGTATTATCGCTCTGCAAACTAAGTAACTGTATATTTACTGAACATAAACAATTACTAAGGGATGTTGACACTGTGATACATAATAAGCAATCTTACTGGGATGGATTATTACGTTTTAAGGTTTTACTTTTTCTTAAATAAATCAAGTTTTTGTGACAAAATAAGTTTGTAAAGTAAGTAGTGAACTCAAAATGCAGGCAGTCAAAAAAAAGTATTGAAGTAGTCATTTTGCTTGTGAAACCAGGTGCCAAGCTGTAGAAGAAATTCTTTGGGGTGCTGTTTATGAAAAGGATTTACTTCATGTCAATAAAATCACACAGGCTCACATCAGCATTAAGTCTAAAAGGAACTAACAAACTCACAGGCTTTTCTGAAGGATTCAATCCCAATAGAGAGTAAATATGCAGAGGTTTTTATAAATCCTTCTGGCATTGCAAAGACAAATATTTTGCAACAACTTGAAGCAGCTCATGAGAAATTTCTCATCTAGTGATGCAATAATTTTAGACAATTCACTAATTGCTTTGTTGATTTAAATCCAACTTTTACTCCAAACAGCATTCAGGGTTCCATTTTCTCCATCTTTCTTCTTTTTGTATAGCAGCAAAATACTCTCTTAAGGCAACTTACAAGACAAACAGGTGCAAATCATATCAAATATAGATGTCCAAATTAAATCTGAATCAATAATTCTGGTAAATGTAAAAAAATAAACAAAAATTTAAATATTATTTTTGGGACTCTAAAATTTATCAAAGTAAAAGCTGTGAAATAATCACACTGTAACTTCATGTGTGATGCCCACCAATAGTTTATTTTCCTCCAATTTACAGAATTAAAAATACAAATTTACAGTCCATTCTGTCGAGGTATTTGGGTGTAACTCTTTTTAAACCCTCCAGCTGTTTTGCAGAGAGTGTTGTTTGAAAGTGTGATCCATGTGGTCCAGAGGTTGAATCATGGAGGATGAAGAGAATCTGCTTCTGGGCCACTGTGAAGGACATGCTTAAGGAAAGGAAAGGAAAACAAAGGAAAGGAAAGGTAAGGAAAGGAAAGGAAAGGAAAGGAAAGGAAAGGAAAGGAAAGGAAAGGAAAGCAAAGCAAAGCAAAGCAAAACAAAGCAAAGAATCATTTTTAGAAGCTCAATTCAAAACGTGATGAGGTTTTAATCTGGAAGAAAACAACAATTTGCTGTAAAAAACGAATTAGATAAAATTATACATCTGTATTTGTTGTGAATGGGCTTTTACAAAGATAAAGATTAATTGTGACTCCTAATTTCAAAAATCTATTACTCTGCTGCAGCTTGTTATTGTTTTATCTAATAAACTGATATACTCACAAACAAACAACTCTACAAATGAAAGAAAATATTCAAAGCTGATCAAAATCTATTTAAAATGTCTGAAGATGAAATATTTGGACAAAAGATATTTCACACTTGACTGCCTTTTGTCTCAGATTTTTTTTTTTTTTACAGCTATCTTTCCCAAATCCAGGGCTCTTGATTCAGCAGACCATCATATATAAGCGAGCAGAAAGAAGAGTCAATAATTTTCACTAATTAGATACTTATTAAGAGAGAGACTCAACTATATGCAGCAGGATAAAGACTATATGACGTATGTATTGAAAGAACAACATTGAAGAAAAAGAAATAATGAATACCAGTAAAATATTGATGTGATTTAAATCCCTCCTTCATAATTTATATGGAGCAACATGTTTGATTACGTGACCCAGGCTCATGATGCGCCAAATTACGCACGTTAAATTGAACCTGCAGTATTTAAATTAAATTTATTGTTAGTCAGATTTACAGAGGACCAATTAAGATAAAGACATAAAGCAAACCAGAGCTGATCCCAGGGGTGCAAATGTTTTTTTCTTCTTCTTCTTCTGCAAATATCTATCGCAGCGACACAAGTAAATAATAATACATTTTAAAAATCCCATATATTTTGAGCAGGACTTAAAGTCCATCAATAATTTTCTTGTAAAAATTATTATTATTATTATTATTATTATTATTTGCGTCTAGAAATGAATTTATTTTATTTGCAAAGAGCATTTACTCATTTATCACTCATTGTGCCAACGTTGCGTTTACGCAATCAAGAAATAATGGGGAGGAGATAGGATGTTAATGGACGCCAATACGGGTGTTTCCCTCCTAAATACAAGGCTGAAAGGAATACCAGCTCCTATATGTCCCTCTGTATCAGATATATACACATGCAGGTACATATACATGTCAAGTAGGCCTATATGGGTCGGTCCACTCGTCACTATGTGTCATTTCGAAATCTGAAGGAACCAAGGATGCGTTGGCTGCTGTGAATAGCACGCCTGCATCAAACACATCAACGGTGCGTAAGACTGTTGCGCAACAAAAAAATGAAGGGAAACCGTTGATCCGCGGGCATCTGAAGCAGACAATATTAAGTGGATTTCAATACGTTTTGACTGATTTGCAGGCTCTCAAGTAGTGTCAGTAGTGAACAAGCCTCTACAAGGTCAAAGATGAGGGAGTATTGCACGGCAGCTCCCTTCTGACCTCAACTTAACACCCAGGCTGTAAATACACTCGGAACAACAAGCCAACGCGACTCCTGCAATATTTCAGTTCCAATATAAAGACCTCAATCCGCGAAGAAAGAGTCGTTTAAGCGTTTCTTTAGCATGAAGGAGGGGAGGGGGGGGAAGCACTCAAAGGGCAAAACGAGAAACCTAGTTTTTATTCTTAAATGTAGTGACATGGGCCTCCTTAACCCCAGAATACTCTTCTGCTTTTGATGACATAGAGCTGTAAAGGTAGCTGTCAGTTCGGCCTGTGCAGGAATTGCAGAGCCATTCATCAAGGTGTGACAGGAGGAAAGCCACCATGGCTCAGGTGAAATAAAATCTCTGAGGGGTTATGTTAAAAAAAAGTCGAGAGAGTGAAATAAATTACACTTTATTTGCTAAGTAAATCATTGTTTTTGAGTTCAAGGCATGGAAACGATTTAACCAAATCAGTTTATTGCCCTGGTCACTGCAGGTGGGTATATAATGAACTAAAGAACACAAGAGAACTGGTAATTAGTATTACCTGACCAAGTCGCAAATTAATATGTGCGTAAAAATGGAAAACGCTCCAAAATGTTGGAAAACGTCATTGTTTTCTACGTTGCTCCCAGTAAAAGAACGCAAAACAAAAAAGAAAATTGCATCCAGATCCAATAATTAATGCCTGATATGTTTTAATGTTATTCGATCTAAACAACCATTCAACACAAAAACATGCAAATTTCAGTCAGAAGTCGCTTCGTGCCACTGTTAGGCCCGACAAGCCCTTCTTTTAACTCCGAACCCGAACATGCGCGCTGCATGCATTTTACACGAAGAAAAATGACATATATGCTCAAAAGTGCTTAAATATCTTACCTTTACAAACACAGCAAAAAATTAATAAAAAAAAAAAAAAACAATCTCTAACAGAGAGTTGCTCTTTTTTAAAATATGTCAACGGAATACATCTATTTCCAATCACTGCAGAGGTAGGAAGGCGCATGTAAAATATAAGGTGTCATTTTAAGTCTATAGGGTTCTTGAGGGGGTCCCAGCATCGAGATAAAATGACACAAATCAGTTTTCCCATATCATTCCAGATAGTTTTTTAGGACATCTGCAGATCAGACACAGGCTCTTACTAAAATATTATTTAAAGTATTTGAGAGTGTAAAAAAGTCTAGGAACAACCCGATGACAAATCAGGGACGCAGAGCTGATTAACTTTCCCCTCAGGGCTCTTCTTCTTGTCAGAAAAAAAAACGTAAAGTTATGTTGGTTCCCGGGAAGAGAAGCAAACAAATGAATAATAAATAAAAGTCTCAGGGTTCTCACTGATTCCCCGCACACGCAGACAGTGTCCACGCAGGGAGGCAGTACGCGTACGGGTAATAGTAGGAAGGCTGCAGGGAGAGCAGCGGGGGCCGCAGGATCTCCCCGGGGCCGTACTGTCTCTGGTCGTCCCGCACTAGAACCTTCACCGCTACCTTTTTGGCCGCCGGGGTGGATGCCATCAAGTCTGCGGCCATCTGCCGGCGTTTCGTCTTGTAGCGGCGGTTCTGGAACCAGATCTTGACCTGTGTCTCTGTTAGTTTCAGGGAGGCCGCCAGGTCCGCCCGCTCGGGCCCGGAGAGGTACCGCTGGTGGTTGAAGCGGCGCTCCAGCTCGAAAACCTGTGCGTGGGAGAAGGCGGCTCTGGAGCGCTTCTTCCGCTGCTTGGGCTGCTCCAGGTTCTTCTCGTCTGGGTTGCTGGAGTCTGCAGAGAAGACACATAAATTGGGCGTGCATGTCGTGTCTGATATTCAGCAATAATTCACATCGTTCGTTGTTTTTTTTTTATTTTTTGTTTTTTATTATTTGGCTTCAGGTATACACATTGCATTGAATTATCTTGTTGAGATTGTTCAGTTGTAAGGAAACATCTCCAATTTATCCAGGAGATTTGAATATTGTAATTAAAAAACGGCTCACGAACTCTGCAAATCTATCTTACAGTATAAACGAATATTAATACAGGAAACATAAAAGTGAGGGGCTTAAAATGTGCCAGACTTCGCATTTATAATCAAGCATAAACAGGGAACAATTCGTGCGTAAAAGCGAGCAGGATGTGGAAAAGTCTTTGCAAATTAGGTCCAACGTCCTAAACGACCGTCGTGGTCCACACAGCTATGCCCATAAAATAAAACACATATTATTAACAATTGTTACGCAGTCTGACTCAAATTTTGTAGCTACGACTCAAAAACAGTCGCTGGGACACATTGAGGTGTCTTTACGCACGTAAGCGCGTCTTCTGAAGGCCTACTCACCCGTAGTATTGTTGGGCTCACTGTCACTCTTTGCATTCTCCGCAGCCGGAGACTCGTGGTCCGTCTCCTCCTGCAGGCTCTCCTCCGGCACATCTGACCCCGGCTCGCCGTTCCTCTCCGGCTTGCGCATGGCCGGAGTCTTTCCGTCGTTGTCGTCGCTGAGTCCGGAGTCCGAGTCGTAGCTTTTCTGCTCTGTCCGCACACAGGACGCCTCCTCCGTCCTCCCGGACTCGTCGTTCATCTCTCCGAATATTTTCCAACACGCCGCTTTGGAGAAGCATACGTCCAGCTCTGGTAAGTGTCTGCTGCTGTCCTTTTTGTTCAGGATGGCCTGGATGGAAAAAGGCATCAGCGAGTTGCCACGGACGGCCATTTTTTTCCGACGGGAGCGACGTTTTGCTCGGTGTTTAAGTTGAGTGATCAGCCCTGGTGGAGGAGGAAATGTCAGTTCATCCACATTTTAGGCTGCTCCCTCGCAAGAGTTCTGCTCAAGCTGAACTTTTTCCCTCCAGCGCTGCTTTCCGCTCTCATTCCCGCAGAAGAAGAGGAGATTTTGCACAACCCGCTGGCGCGATGCTTATCCACCGCACAGATCTGCCATCAGCTCAGACTCTTTCCAGACTCCGGCCCTTTTTGCCCATTTTTTCAACTAAACAGCCTCACCTGTGACTCACATGCACTCCCCTCTGCCGGCTATTGGCTAACCTAGAGGAAAGCCTTTTTAATGATTGGTCATTGCGTAAATGACGTCATGCTGCCTACAATCGGGTGGGGGAAAGTTGAGAAAAGTTTAAAGGAAGCTTTTTCTTTTAAATTATTGGACCCTGAAGTGACAAGCAGGTTGGATCTTCATCTATTCCTTTAACACTTCTCCAGATCAGCGATCAAACTGTATCTCTGCAGGACTGGATTATGCTTGTTGGTCGAGTTTGGATATTTTGAAATCACGTAAAACAATCGGTATTGTCAGAATTTAGCATTTTATGGGAAGACACGTTAAAGTTCAAAGAGAAAAGTTTAACAATCAAATATGACAAGAAAACGTGATATGTGAACGCACGTCCATGTTTCTCCACATCGCCTAAATCCAACATTACTGTAGTTTATCACAATAAACGCAGAGGGATTTATTTTTTTAAAGGTTTTCACTTCATCATTTTGACAGCTCTGTTTGTAGCCTAATATGTTTCCTTAAACTGGGAAGCAAGTCTAGAATTGACGCAACAAAGTGGGAGAAGAATACTTTCCGGATCACTCGGGATCTGTTGTGTTTTGTTTAACCTGCATCACAGTCGAAGTGCTGCCTCAAAAACAAGCAAGCAAAATAAATAAATAAATAAATAAATAAATAAATAAAAACAGGTAGACCTTAACAAGAGCACACAGTTCCTGATAGTATGGGCTCGTTAAAGCGTCAGATCATATGTGGTGACCCAAAGATGCGTAAAAATGCGCGCTGAGAAAATGTTTGAGAAAGAGGAGAAACAGGGGTTTTTTAATAGTCTGCAGACAAAAGAATGCTGATATATTGCCTATAGCGACACCCCGACAAATATTCAAATAGAAATGTGAGTATTTGTCCTGAAGATCCGCATCAGGACCTTCCAGCCTCCGCCTTTCACATCTCAAACCGCCACCAAATTACAGCAGGACGCGTCTGATTAAAACCCAGGCGCATTTGCAAACCGCAGGTTTTCCCTGTTTAAGTGCGCAGTGCATAATAAAATGACTGCATAATTAGGATCCAAATGCTTTGCTTCATTCACGCCTTTCTGGAAAAGCATTTGATTTAGGCGAATCATTTCTGGCCTCATGTTTGGTGGCCAGTGATTTATTATTATTATTATTATTATTATTATTATTATTATTATTATTATTATATTTTTTTGTTAGCTGTAGCGTTTTTTTTATTAAGCTTTTATTAACACATACAAACAGAACATGGAGCTGGTTGATTAAAATAAAATGTATTAATTAAGCTGAGAGAAATTCTAAAATAATGTATTATTATTATTATCATTATTATTATTATTAGCCTATTACAAACAATTTATTCCTGCTGCTCGTCTTCTAGAGAATATTTGAAAGTGTTTTTTGAAGCGTAAATCTCAGAGGAAAAACACGCAGCCCGCCTTAAACAAAGTCAGCATCACATTGATGTCATAACCTGCATATAACTTAAGGAAATTAAATGAATAATAAAACGTATTGAGTTTGAATTTATGCTGAATTACAAAGAAAATGATATGAGGTCAGCTCGTCCAAAGCCGACTGATCATACCATCTAGTGGTCACTCAATATACCTCTCTAATTTTTATTTTATTTTATTTTACTTTTTTTACATCTTTTGCGCCAGTAGCGTCTTGTCTGACCAGACACAGTAAAACTAACTTTGCATATTTTGTCCCAGATGGGGAAAATTTCACCCCAAATCAGCGGCAGATTTCTAGAAACAATAATTATATCACGTTGGACTGCTGCGCGGAATAAACACCAATTATTATGGCGCACAGACTTGTGAGTCATTGTCTCAGGCCTGCAGTCTCCTTGGGAATAAAAAGTCTGTCGCCGCGACATAAGAAAACACAAGTGAAATTGGTGGGAAACACAAACCGCAGATACATCTGGAGATTTTCACATCCTCTGCCCTTGTTCTATCAGGAACTCCTCATCCCGTCCAAGGCCAACATCACACCCATTTTCTACTGACCGCTATTGGAATATGCTTAGTTTTTTTTTTCTTCCATAGGCCATTTCTTTGTCTTTCGTACACTTTTTTTTAAAAAATGCTGTGCTCTTGTTTTTTCTTGTCCTAAAATCAGACTCCCTGACCCGCTGCCGCTTTATAAACTGGGGGAAAGTGGAGGATAACTGGAGATGTCCAACAGCGTGAGGCCATCGCGGTGATGTGGAGCAGAGCTCTGCCGGCTGATCTGAACCTCACTGCGAGGAAGAGCTGCAGTAAGTGGCAGGAAATGTAAACAGCAGCCTCTTCTTCTTGAGAGGGCATCGCCATTGAACCGAATTTAAAAAAAAAAAAAAAAAAAAAACGTTATTGGTGTTCCTCTGCTTTACTGCAGTAAATCCAACAATCAATCCCTTTCCTCTTAAATTGTGAATCAATAATATTTAGAATAATAATACTAATAATAAAATGCTCTCTTGTCTGTCTAATCAGATGAAATGATGAACCAACAGAGTTTTACTCTCAATGTATGGATTCATTTCAGCATGATTTTGATATTCCTCAACATCAACTTCAGATTCATCTTCCAGTATTAAATATACTGGAACACCGCGTTCGACAAATAAAAGCAGAGCAGTTTGAAGTATTTTAAGGAACCCTCTGTATATCTATGGCACATAAATTCAACTTTTAGGTTTACGATCAAATTTTTCTTATTTAAATACACGTTTTTGTAAGATTTGTGATTACGTATTTTTTTTATATTATAATAATAATGCGTATAATTTTCATATAGCTACTTATTAAATGGCCACAAAGAAATTTCTTTCCTTTTTTCCATTTATGACATTTTAACAATTTAAAGAATTTCTTGTGATTTTAAATGTACTTTTTCTGTCACTAAAACCCAAAAATGTGACAGTATCGGTAATATTTGTTGTTCTGTAGTTGAAATAGACGACGAGCAATTGGTAAGATGAAACTTTTTTATTATTATTTATTCACTGTCATGTTTCAATTTATTTAATTTGATCTTTCCGGAAATAAGATGCCACATCTTTTAAGCGCTTTACAATGGAATGATATATATATATATATATATATATATATATATATATATATATATATATATATATATATATATATATATACACACACACACACAATCAGGCTATATGTTTCAAATCTTTCAAAAATGTCAACAATATATGTAAGAGTGAAAAAAAACCCATAAACAAGCCAAACCTTTTGAGAAATTCTTGAGCTCCCTTCTCCAGAAATCTGACATTTCTAACTAAACCTGAAGCAGGCGGGTCTTTTGTGTGTGCTGGCTCCCTCTGGTGGTAGGAATAAGAAACGTCTACAGTAGAATGAAACTGGAAACATTAGACATTTATTTCATAATGGCAATGCCAGGAAACTGTGTATTTTATCCCCCACTACCACCACTGATGACATGAATCCTTTGATATTTCCAGATTCTCTGGCTGCTCACATTCATTTTAACTCTGAGGTGAGATTCCTGCCATGCTTCCAGTAAAGAAATAAACTTTAATGGCAAATTACACCATTACTTTCACCTCTGCCATCCTGACTCATGTTTTCTTGTCACTTCTGTTAACTTTAATCCTCTGATTTTAAAAAATCTCACCCGATGCAGCAGCACATCATGTACTCTGGTAATGTCTCTGTTTCCTTCCCTCTTCAGGCTGTGTTTATGACAGGTTTTGATTTTCTTCTTTTTCCTCTTGTGTAGTATTAAAAAAAGGAGAAATGCACCAAATTATCCCCAAGCCTCCCTCTTCCTTTTGATGCCAAATTGTGATCAGATGGAGCAATATTAGAGAGGGCAGTGCCAGGAGTCATTTGCAGTAAATGCTCCCAAACGCCCTCTAGATTTCTCATCAGATGTCTGATCGCACACTTGATCAACTTCAGCACTGGAAAGTGGGGGCTTACTGCCAGCTCTAAGTGCAGTTTTAGTCACTGAAGCTACAACCAAAGCTTCTTTTTTTTTTCTTTAAAGAAATAATGATCCTTGCATGCAACCGAGCTTCAAAATGGCAAAGCACTTGAGACAGAACACTTAGCAGCAAATGGAAGCAAGACTCAAGCAGAGAGAAGGATCCACTGTCTCCTGGAAGCTTTTTAAAGCAGCCCAACAATGGTCGCAGAATTGCAGACACAAGAGCAGAAGCTCCACACTGTTACAGTCCAATTAATGTGTGTAGATAGCACAGGCGTGATTTATAGTTTATTTTCACCTCCGTCATGCTGACAAACGAGCTCCCATCAGACTCTGGCATGCAACACATAATGCATGCAGCTCAAGCACATCATGAAAGGCTCCCGGGCTCTGAAGGGCCTTTGGCTGCCTACTCAGAGCTCGTTTCTCCTCTGCTCACGCCTAAATAAAGATGTCCTTCAAATCCTTTTACTGGGTTCATGTCACATGCAAAAAACATCACTCTTGAGCACGGGAGTGGATGTGGTTATGGATACTTCAAGGGCCATTTAGAAATTCTTGAGATATTAAGGTTCTCTTCTTTTCACACGGTGCAGTGGGAATCAGAGACAGCAGCTGCAGTTTTGGTTTTATGAATGCAAGCGCTGCATTTATCTCTCTCAGAAGTGTCCAATATAGAGCAGCCTCAATCTGCTAATTCACCAACAGAGTTTGTGAAACTGATTAATCACCTTTCCTGAGGAATGCAGAAAGAAAAAACATAGCTTAAACCTGTCCAGGCTGCCCAAAACAGAAACATGACAGGTCTCTGTTTTGTTTTGGTCATTTTTCATTTTTTGCTGAAGCTAACTCGCCTCTTTTTTCTGATACAGCAGAGTCAACAAAACGCGAGAAAACTAAGCATATATTCATGACTAACAACTCTAATCTGTGAATGTCAAACTGTGCCTGACAAAA